GTCCCCCACCAAGAATTATCATTCCAGTCTTCCTCGGACTGGCATGGACAGCTTCACCATTCATGGCCCTAATATCTGTCCAGTTACATATTACATTGTAAGAAACCGAGCTTTCATTCAAATAAAAAGGAAAGAAAGGAAAGAGATACAGGCCCCCGCCTTGAATGACGTCGATAATCAATCCCGGATTACGAAACGAGTGGAAATACAACATGTCTCCCAGTGAGCCATCAGTTAATCCTGGACAGAAGACTGGAATATTGTTCTGCATAATATCAAAGGCAACTGATAATGATAAACATAAGAACAGGTACAAGGATTCTATTAATTTTTACCTTATAAGCCCAATAAAGATACGAACTCTTGTCGTTTATTTCTCTTCCCAAACGTCGGGTTACCTTGGACGGTGTCCATATTACATTCTATGGAGACCGAAAAATGAATGAGAAAACTAGATAAACATTACAAAGAAAAACATCATATAATCTTTTAGTAAGTACCTCTTCAAGTTGTTCCTTCAACATCTGATCCAAAATTGGGATAATCCAGTCCTCGAATTTACAATAGTTATCGTTAGGAACCAATAAATTACCGATGCGATTCAACCCTTTTGATCGAAGAACTGCTCCCGAAAGAGAAAAGTCGCCTTTATATGTGGGAGCGAAGCATTTTATAAGATCTTCTTCAATACCACCAGTTGTAGTGACAATCACATCAACCTGCAGTGACATTGAAGTAACCCCATAGTTAGAGTCCATATCCAAGTCGAAGTGCATCGTACTCATAGACCTTCATAGGTGTTAAGCTAAAAGGAGAGCAAAAAAAAGGTGTATATTACACATGGGAACACATGAAGCACAGTTTTATCTACAATTTTATCTCAAGTTTGATGTGATTTTGTGAGATCCCACATCGGTTAGGGAGGAGAACGAAACATTCTTTATAAGAGTGTGAAACCTCTTCCTAGTAGACGCGTTTAAAAAACCTTGAGAGAAAGCCCGAAAGGGAATACCTAAAGAGGACAATATATGTCGGGGGCTTTGAACTGTTACAAATGGTATTAGAGCCAGATATCGAGCGATGTGCCAGCAAGGAGGCTGAGCCCTGAAAGGGGGTAGACATGAGGTGGTGTGCCAGCAAGGAAGTTGGGCCTCGAATTGAGTGGATTGGGGGTCCCACATTGATTGGAGAAGGGAACGAATGCTAGCGAGGACGCTGGGCTCTGAAGGGAGGTGGATTATCCCACATCGGTTGGGGAGGAGAACGAAACATTGTTTATAAGGGTGTGGAAACCTCTTCCTAGCATACACATTTTAAAAACCTTGAGGGGAAGCCCGAAAGAAAAAGCCCAAAGAGGACAATATCTGCTAGTGGTGGACTTGGGCTGTTACATATTTTAGTTATTAACGTAACATGTATTTGTGAACCAATATAGTTTTTTATACTAAAAAAAATGAGCAATCATGCTGAAATTAACCATTAAAAAATGATTATCCAAACTCATTTTCCCTGAATTTTTGTTCTAAAAAATATGTAAAACTATACTGAAATTAATTTCCAAACAAGTTGTTAGCATCCAGTACAGCGGTAGTTTAACTCACCATATGATGTTCAACAAGATAACGAATCGTGTCTCGAACACCAGAAGAAATAAGATTAGAGGTGAAACTAAGAAAAACTTTGCACCTCGTCGACTCCCGAAAGATTGGATCCTTCTCCTCCTCGGAACAATCTTCTGTTATACTCTCATCAGCAAGCCTCCAATCTAACTTCAATCCAACACAGTATCATTTCTCAAAAGTAAATCATCAATGCTAAAAATAAAATGGGACTAGATGCGTATGTTAGAAATTTCCGATGAAGCAAAATAAAGGGATGTCGGTTTTCAATGAAAGCTTACCATTTGATTGACGACTTCTATTGCATCTCCTAAATTCGAGGCTTGGAAACCAGTGGAGACCATGGACCTTATAAGCTTCGAGTAGTTTACGCCTTGATTGAAGTCATATCCCTCGATTTTGATTCTTTTCCCTTCGAGATTCTCCGATTCCTTAAAAACCGTGGCATGCACAGATGCCAAAACATTATTGTTCTCCATCTCACCCAATGCTTCACTGCCTGCACAAGGCATTTACATGTAACAAAAAAAGGCATTATTGTTCATACATGCAACAAAAAATCTAAAAGTAGTTGTCTCCAGTTGGTTAGCACTAATACAAGTCATTCGACTGCAAGAATCATGAAACTTAACGCTAATAGGCAACATTTATATTTTCATAATCCAAAGAAAATCTCCAGCTTCCATGAAATTGGATAGGCTGAAGAACTATACAGGAAACGAACAAAATCCCAAGAGAAGTAATTCATTGTGAGATCCCACATCAGTTGGAGAGGGGAACGAAGCATTCTTTATAAGGGTGTGGAAACCTCTTCCTAGCAAACTCGTTTTAAAAACTTTGAGGGAAAGCTCGAAAGAGAAAGCCCAAAGAGGACAATATCTGCTAGCGGTGGGCTTGGGTTATTACATTCATTTCAGCAGCAATAAGAGTATAGAAAAGAGCAATCCTTATAATTAAAGTTGACAACGTGATTTCTTTCTTTCTTATTTTCCAAATTTTTTAACAGGCGGAACAGCTGAAAATCACAAGCAAATCTCAAATTAAAACCACCATCCAGAAAGGCATATATAGCTCCGAAAGAGTGAAACAATTCAATTTTTTGTCGAGACAAAATCAAAATCGTGATAGAGAGAGAACAAAAAAGTAAGATAATGAAAAGGGAAAGGAACTAAACAAAGAGTTTGAATGAGAAGAGAGAGATATGGGGTATTACTGTAGAACCTGTCTCATTGAGATTTATGTCTATCTAGACAAATCTTTTTCTTTTTTTGAGTTTAACGATTGTGAGAAAGGAGATCGACCCAACTTTTGGAATGATAATTTGTAACGGCTCAAGCCCACTACTAACAGATATTGTCCTCTTTAGGCATTCCCTTTCGGACTTCACCTCAAGGTTTTAAAATGCGTTAGCTAAGGAGAGGTTTCCACACTCTTATAAAGAACGTTTCGTTCTCCCTAACCGATGAGAGATTTCACAATCCACCCCCCTTCGAGACCCAGCGTCCTCGCTGGCACTCATTCTCTTCTTCAATCGACATGGGACCCTCCAATCCATCCCCTTTTGGGCCCAACATCCTTGCTGGCACACCGCCTCGTGTCCACCCCCTTCAAGACTTAGCCTCCTCGCCGGCACATCGCCCGATAACCCGGCTCTAATACCATTTGTAACGGCCCAAACTTACTACAAGCAGATATTATCCTCTTTGGGTTTCCCTTTCGGGCTTCCCCTCAAGGTTTTAAGACGCGTCTGCTGGGGAGAGATTTCCACACCCTTATAAGAGATGCTTTGTTCCCCTCTCCAACCGAGGTGGAATTGGTATCTAATCCAATCTTGGATTGGCTAAAACTTTTTAAACCACCAACATGTGTTAAACACTCTACTTAATTAGGTTAATTATGGTGTTATTAGCTTCGTTAGGATACATCCTTTTACTTGCAACCCCCAATCTCTTTTCGTTGAGGAGAGAATATGGGAAGAACATCCCCTTCATCCTCTCCTCTGTATTCAGTTCATCTAACATAACATACCATAGACTGCTCTTACTTCCGGTAAATTCAAACCACCATGAATGATTGTTGATTTAAGGGGGCGAACTTCAATTTTCACAAAAAGCTTCTTGTCTTAATCGCTACCACAATTTTAATCTAAAACTCATCAAACTCAACTATAGTCTAAAACTATCAGCTTCGTTCCCTGCCGAACAACTAAAGTAAAAATCTACAACTATGAACATGCTGATGTTGTCCTGAAATTAAAACAAGTCCTCGTTTCTTGCATTACACAATTCTTAATTTGAGTTGTTGAGAATAAATACAAAGACGAAGTTTGTAAGAATACCGTTAACAGTATGGAAGACTGGTAATAACTGCAAGGAGAATACGGCGGTGGCACGAGCGGAGAGAGACGGCGCGGGCGCCGGTGGCACTGAATGGGGGAGAGACGGCCGGCGAGAAACGAGGCCGGCGTGAAGAGTAAGACAGAGATGAAAAGGATGGGTGTGAGGTTTTCTCCTTTTATTCTATTTAATAATAATTTTCTCCTTTTGTTGGCTAAATTGTTTAATTACTTTCACGAAAATAGTTAATACTTTATTTTAAAAATATACTTTAATTTTTTAAAGTATTTAAAAATATTTTTAAACTAACAGAATTTTCATTAATATTCTTAACATTTAATAAGAAATATAAAAAATAAAAAAACGAAAAATTATTGAATTATGAATTAAAATGGATGATAAGATAATTGTTTTAGATAATAATTTTTTTTAAAAAATTAATTGAAGGCACAAGTGATGTAAAATTAATTTGTACATTATTTAACGGACAAAATAAATGGTAAAATAATTTTAATATCCATTTTTTGTTTATTAACTATGTTTATTTGTTTTAATGAGATTTTTTAACCAAAGTTTTAGTGTATTTTATTAAAAAGTTATTAATTTTTTAAATAATTTGATGAATTTCTTTGTATACTTAAAAATAAACCTCATAAATCATTTTTAAATTTTTTATAAGTATTTTTAAAAAATGCTTAATAGTATGAAATTGATATTTTTGAAATACTTTTAAAAATTAAATAATTTTTTTTGAAGTAAAATATTGACTATTCCATGTAAAACTAATTACAAATATATATATATATATATATATATATATATATATATATATATATATATATATATATATATATATATATATATATGTTTATTTTTAGGGTATTGTTTAATATTTTAAAATTTTAGAAATATTTGAGAGAAAAAAAAATGTAAATTTTAGAGACATTTTTATTAATTTTTTTACAATATTATATATATTTTTTTCCATTCATCCGTACGCGTCACATATTATACCTTTTTTTTCTTTTTTTTTTTTTTCCTGTTTTCTATAACCATTCTCTAAACCCTATTTTAGCTTCAGCCACCCCCTCCCTCCCATCGACAGTCGCTGCAACCTGCTCCGCCTCACGTCGCGCGCCGCTCGCCGCTCGCCGCTCGCTGCGCGTTACTATAATTGCCGCTACTTCTTTGATTCCGTGACGCATCGGCCACCGTCTTTCTTCGAGTTCTTATTATTCAATGTAATTTAAATAAGTGCATGAATGTTATTATGTCCATGACTATCTTAATTGATGGGATGTTTTTTTTTTTTTTTTTTTAAGTTATTTTGTTTTTCGTTTATCTATGTGAAGACTCTAGGTGAAGATTTGGCGGCAATGTTGCGAAGAAACATTCGGCTAAGGAGGGAGTATTTGTACAGAAAGAGTTTAGAAGGCAAGGAGCGTTTGCTTTATGAGAAGAAGCGGAAGATTAGAGAAGCCCTAGAAGGTATTCCATCTCTTTGTTTGAGTGTGTTCTTACCTCCCCACTCGAGGAGGAAACGACACTGATAAAAAAAAAAGGGGGGAGAGTACGAAATATGAGGATTAACTAGCCAAGTACTAGTCCAAAGAGTTCAAACCATTCTGAATTAGATTCTATATTGAAGACATGATAGTTGCAATAGCGGTTTGAAGGAAGGCACAATCGTGGAAACTAAAAAAGATTGTATCCGAAGTAATATGAGTAATTTAACAATATGTATGTGAAGGTTGTTTTTTCGCAACCGCTGGAGCAATCGTGAACTTCCGGATCTTAATTTTGTGGACTTTTTTTACTGCAGAGGGAAAACCTTTTCCTACTGAACTCCGGAATGAGGAGGCGGCACTTCGTAAAGAAATTGAACTTGAGGATGATCTCACAGCAGGTACCATTCTCTAACCATTCTTCAATTAAACAGGGAAGGTTAACACTTTTTTTTTTTGTTTTTTTGTTTCCAACCTTCTCCGAAGAATGTCTGAATTAATGAGAGTATCATCTTCAAGCCAATGACTTATCTGGGATCTTTGACCTCTAATGCCAATGGTTTTAAGAGCATTCTTTCTACCTTCTTTTCAATCATTTCAGATTTCTTTGCGAGCACAGAGTTTACGTGAGGGTATTTAATTATAGCATTAAAAATAGATCTTTCTTCATTAGCTTAGTTGGTAAGTTGTGGATTTTTTTTTAATTGTTTAATATTTAATCCGACGAAGAGAGAATTTTTTTTCTTTATGCGTTAGATTTGAATGCCCATAGTCAAACGTTCATCAGAAAAGAAAGGTTTGATTAAGGATCATTTTGGGTGCTAAGAATCTTGTACCATAGTTGTGGTTTGTGGAAATTACCACTCTCTCCTATGAAATCGGAGATTTATTATGTTACAGCAGGATGAAGAGTGGGTTTTTGAAGGGAAAAAAAGATTGGATTGTGGAGAAGAAAACTGAGTGCGGTGAAGCTAATTGATGGGAGCACATAATACTGGCCACAGCATTTTAATTCCATGATTATTGGTACTCCATTGTGGAAGTGAAGATAACCTTGGGCTTGGCATTTTTTGTTGTCCAAATTCTTAACAGAGTTCTTGATTCTTAATATCAAATTGTAAGTGCAAGTTGTTTCTGGAAATTGTTGCTAATGCATGGCTGCCTCTTCGTGTACATCAAATTCAGTCCCAAGGACACACATTGATGATGAGTATGCAAATGCTTCACAAATTGATCCTAAAATTTTGATTACTACATCTCGGGATCCAAGTGCACCTTTGACCCAGTTTGCAAAGGTTGGCATAAACTATCCTTTTCTCCTTTGTAAATTTTGTAGTAGATATTATAGATTTTGGTCCTCACTGGAGTTTTATTGGCAATCTTGTAAACAGGAATTAAAAATTGTTTTTCCCAATGCACAACGGATGAATCGTGGTGGTCAGGTTAGTATTAATTTTGCCTACCTTATTGGTTTTTCTAATATCAGTTCATTTCTACATTTAGCCGTTTCTTTGAATTTGGAATTTCTTGTTATTCGAGCTTATTCAGACACAGTAGTACTTCATTATGTGATAGTTGATACTTAAATACACGATTATTGTTTTTAAAATTAGTAGTGAACAGCAAGTGATAAATCCTGGTTATGTGTTGACTTTCGACAGTCAGCTTGTGAGGCTGTTAACAAGTCATGGGTGTTTTAATACTGTGTTGTAAGATGACAGATTTTTCATAGATAAGCTAAGGTGTTTGTATGTTGTAGTGTTTTAGGTGGTCCAGCCAGGCATATTCATGAAATGTTTCTAATACTATAGCTTTGGCATAGAAACTAGATTACTATATTAATAGCTTGCAAAATCAGAAAATATAGAAGAATGCCCTGTATTTTCACTTGTGGAGTTGCATTTAAGATGATCTAACAGAAATCCTTTGCTTGGTGGTAAACTTATCTCCTTTTCATTTGTAAGCCTTTTGTTTGATTAAAATGTTCTGTTCCTTAGGTGATCGCAGAGATTATAGAGACCTGTCGAGCTCATGAATTTACAGATGTTATATTAGTTCATGAACATCGTGGTGTGCCAGATGGTTTAATTATTAGTCACCTTCCTTTTGGTCCAACTGCATATTTTGGATTGTTGAATGTGGTAAGTGTTCTTTTGGAATTCATTATTTTTACTAATGGTTTTTGGCACTAGTTGGTGAAGCTTGTAGGCTAACCATCTTTTCCAATTGAGGTTACAAGACATGAAATTAAGGATAAAAAAGCTATGGGAACGATGCCGGAGGCCTATCCACACATAATTTTGAACAATTTTACCACAAAGGTAACACACATTTTTATGATATGACGTCACCTTCTTATTTGACATACTTCATGAATGTCTATTAATTATCACCATGTGCTCTTTATTTTGATATTTGTATTGGATTTCAATATTGTATGATGTTAGACTGCTGAATTTAAAATTTCTAGAGTAGAACACAATGAAACGGGCTGAAAAAAGAAAAAAACCTTCGGATGTACATTGTTATTAGCTATTATCTTTTTGTTTTTTCTCCAAAGTTACTTAATTCCTTTCAAAGTAAATAATGTCTACTTTCAGAGTTGGGATTTTCCTAATATTCCTACTATTGACATGCCGGTACCATTAATAGTCTTGTCATCATTTTGTTAGCTTAACACCTCATACTTACTGCAACATGAAATGTTCTATTTTATATTTTCTTCCTTTTTTCCCCATAAGTCTCACCATTTATTCTAATGTTCTCGTTCTATTTGCCACCATATCCCATGTGTATATGTGGTTGCATTTTGAGGACATCAATGCCTAAGTTTTCCTCGTTCTCCCATTATGTAAAGATACTTTGTTAATCAGCTTCTCCTCCCATTTTTAATTCTATTTCTCTGCATCCTATTGTCTTACATCATTGTCCTATTTTTGATAGTTGGGTGAAAGAACGGCCAATGTCTTAAAGCATCTATTTCCTGTGCCGAAGCCAGATACGAAACGTGTGGTTACTTTTGCTAATCAGTCTGACTATATTTCATTCAGGTTGGTTCATTAAAAAAATTTCCCTAGAGAATCTTAAGTTGGTTTGATGAGCTTACTATGATACAATGATACTTAGGCTTAGTTTGGGATTGCTCTGCTTGTAGAAAAATCATCTATAACATAGAGTTAATTAGTGTTTAGTGTTTGGTAAATAATATTAAATAAATTGATGTAATTTAGCTATAGTGACCAAAATAGGCACTTTCTTTTTCATATGCCTTTGGTTTCTTTCCTTTTTTCTTAATGAAAGCTTGGTTATCCATAAAAGAGAGACCAAACTAGGCATATTATTTTGACATTGATATTTAATATCCATTTTATTATGAGTTAATTGTTTACTTTCTTAAAAAAAGTTTACAAATGTATATGATCCAAATAACAAGTTATTTTGGTTAGTCTATCATCAAATAGATGTTGAAAAAAAGAAGATATATATAGAATGATTGAATTGGAATTTTAAAAACTTTGCGAGAGATGGCAAATTTTCAGAAGAAATTGTTTTAATTCATTGTCCTATTTTTTTTTGGCTATTCATCAAAAGAAAGAAAAATTTTCCAATTTCTTCTTCTATACAGTCAATTTTCCATTTATTATTGTCTTTGAAATGGTCTCACGAATGGGAATGTCCATTTAGTATTGTCTTCAGTAGTAACTCTTTTCTAATTTGTGCTTGTTTTCTTTGGTCATTTGAATTAAAAAAAAAAAAACTATAGGCATCATATTTATGAGAAGCAAGGAGGTGCTAAATCAATTGAGCTGAAGGAGATTGGTCCACGGTTTGAATTGCGATTGTACCAGGTACCTATTCTATCATTCTGTACATTGCTTTGTCTATAGCCTGCATTTTAGATAGACTTTATACTGGAGAAACCATTTCAATAAACAAGGACAACCAAGCAATCGAGGTGTTCAAAACATTAAAGTATTTGATGGACAAATTAATAAGCACCATGGTCTTGCACATTATTATTATTATTATTCTGAATGACAATTCTAGTTTCTGAGCGTCTAAAGGCCCACATGGTTAAGAGAGATCCGAAAAAGAAAATAAAACAGAACTTGAATGGAGGATCAGATATTTTTCGACAAAAGTCAAGAGCTATATAAAGTTTGGTGATAATATTTTTCTGTAGTCCTTCGGAGTTCATAGAATGAGAAACTAGAAAAAACAGCCAGACAAATTCAAAATGACTTCCAATGAACTCTGAACTAAAACGTTTGGTTTGGTGCTGAATGATAATATTTTCTATCTTCCTTTTGAACCAGGATGCATATTTTTTATATAATCTTTTCTCGTCGATCATTCCTCGTCCCATAATAATTTCACCAATCGTGCCTTGCTCGACCACTTACTACCATTAACCCAATCTGCAATTTTGCTGTGTTGAGTATTGTTTTTGGCTGGCTATCAATATTATGACATATACTAAATTTGATTTCTGGTTTTGCTGGATTGTTGGTGCAGATAAAGTTAGGAACCGTTGACCAAACGGAAGCACAGAATGAATGGGTGATTAGACCATACATGAAAACAACCAAGAAACGCCAGTTCCTTGGTGATTGAGAAAATCTGCTAAAGAAGCAGGTTGTATTCTATCTTTTATTTTATTGCATAATCACATTTTTATTAAAGATTATATATATTTTTTGTTCGGTTGGGGATACTAAATTTTATCTAGAGAATTGATAGATTTAGTTGAATCTTTGTATTAAGAAAGCTAGCTAGCTGTGTTTTTGACATAATGGTTGGTTGGGGATACTAAATTTTCTCTAGATTATTCATAGATTTAGTTGAATCTTTGTATTAGAAAGTTAGGTGTTTTTTTTCTATTAATTTCTCATTTTAATTTAAAGATTTCACCTTTTAAACTCCTAGTTTGCTAAATTTTCATGATCCAATCACTCCATCTCGTTAAATCTAATTCAAAATTTGATTTTCAAAGGCCCAAGAAATTTCGAAAACCAAATCTTATAAGTACCAATACAGATCGAGAAGGGAGTATATGTCCATTAATCATGAGATCATATGTCTAAAAACGTAAGCAATCTGCATATATTAAACACATATTTGTGTTAGGATGAACTGATAACATCATTGTAATCGGTACAAAGTCTTGGAGATTAATTTGTGACGATAAATCCCCACTGCCTATTTCAGCATAGATTAGTTAAATGAAACACGAAATCATTTACAAAGCCGCTGCTAGTTTGACTCAAACACCCATCATAGAATTTACGTCAATTTCAGGTTGGTCTAAAAAAATTCATTATAGAATCTATATCAATTTCGGGTTGGTCTAAACAAATTCGTAATTCATTCATGTTCTAAACTTCATATTTTATGCCTAAGTGGATTCCAAAATCGTTGGTAAACGACCCAATTAAGGGCTTTCTTTGTTCACACGCTAACATATGTGTCTTGTCCTATGTTTTTGTTCATTGATTTTGTTTTGTTTTATTGTCTTTCTCTACAAAAATAAATAATTATATAAATAAATAAATTATAGTAATGGACTAAATTAACTACACAATCTAATATAATAAATTTCTAATTACATACTTAAAAAATAAATAAATCACTAGAATGAATAAGCATGGACCTCAACCAGAAGAACACAAGCCAAATAAAATTATTCAAAATTTCCAAGTTCAACCATAAAAAATCTAAATAGTTTAGATTTTGGTTATAAGATCGAAAATCATAAGTAGATAGTCACCTTGATGACCATAAGACCGATCATCTAAAAACACGAAGCGAGTGATTTACACAAGAGAAACCGCCATCGACGAGGAGATTGTCTCCGCTGATGTATCGAGCCTCGTTGCTAGCCAAGAACAAGACAGCATTGGCAACATCTTCAACCTCTAGATCCACTCCTTGCAAATTAGCATTCTTTCCAGTAAACTGACGAAAGCCTGTAATCACATCCTCAGTTCTTTCCTCTTCATGCAAGTGAGCAAAAGCCAAGGACGTTGGAACTGCGTAAGGCGACACACAATTCACACGAATTCCATATTGTCCGAGCTCTGCTGCAACGCTTCTCGTAAGCCCCAGCACGGCGTGCTTCGAGCTTATGTAATGATGCGGTCCTATTCCCCCTATGACGCTACCGACGCTAGCAAGCGATATGATCGATCCTTGTTTGTTTGGAATCATGACACTAGCAGCATATTTCATTCCCATGAAAACTGCCTTCACATTGATATTAAAAACCTTCTCGAACTCTGATACGTCGACGCTGCGAATATCGGAAGAGGGTGTGCCTGAGATCCCAGCATTGTTCACCATTATGTCAAGTGTACCGAATTTACTTACGGTCACGTCGACTGCACGACGAACATCGTCTTCCACAGTGACATCACAATGAGAATAAAAAGTGTTCGAGTCGTCGTTGCCACCGAGGTCTTCATGGAGACAACGACCGAGCTCGTCCTGCACATCCACGAAACAAACCTTTGCACCATGTCTGTGGAAGAGGCGCACAATGGCCTCACCAATGCCAGAGGCTCCACCAGTGACCAATGCCACTTTCCCTAATAACCTGAAAATGGTAAGAATCAATCAAGAGTTCATATCAATTTGAGACATTATTCATCATTCCGATCCTAACGAATAATCGACAATCAAACGTAACGACGCATCAATACAATCAAATTCTATACGATATAATCGACTCGGTTCGCCATTTGAAAGGCAACGGTAGCCTTAAAAATGACCATAAGCAAGCAGAACAATTAGGTACCAAATCCAGCCAACAACAAAGCTTTAATTTTATTTGGTAACAATCAACAAACAGGACATGTTTCAAGAACAAAAAGAGTTAGAAAAAATATCAGGTTAAACCACAAATCAACCAAAAAGCTTAAACGTTACGAACACTTATACTCTTAGTTTAATTGTAACGGCCCGAACCCACCACTAACAGATATTATCCACTTTCGACTTTTCTATCCGGGTATAGGCCGTTACACAAATAATCGTTACACTAATAATCGTTTTGTTACTATTTCTTAGCTTTCTTGGATAGTTATTCATACAAAAGAAGAAAAATGGTAGTGGGTTTGATAAAGAACTACTTTTATTAGTTCCTCTTTCCGACATGCCATGATTTGAAACATTACAGAACCTTAAAAGAATCAAATTCGATTTAGATTTACATAATCTTAAAGAATCCCAAGTTAGTTCAAAAGGGAAACTATGAACCAAATGAAATCAGTCCAAAAACCCATCAAAACAAGCACTGAATTCAATAAAAAAAAACAGAGTAAATCAACAACCCTTTTGAAACTGAAAAGAAAAAAACAAAAGGGTTTCCATCAAAACTTCAAAATCCCAAAAGGGTCACAATTTCTGATCCAAAACCAAAACAAGGAAGCCGTTTTAAAAGGCCAGATCCACAAGAACAAGAACACGAACAAGAACACGAACACGAACAGGAACAAGAACAAGAAGAGGAACAATCACCTCTGGGGTACGAGAGAAGAAGAAGAAGATTCAGCAGTGGCCATTTCTTGACTGTGTGTGAGTTTCTTGCAGAAAGGGCGGCATAGAAATGGAAGTGGAAGACGTTTGTTTGTATGTGGGCGTGTCTAAATGGAAGGAAACGACAATTTGCACATGGTTTAGACAGCTGATGTCGCCAACACACATAGCCAATTGGATATTTTAATGAGGCGTTGCAAAATCTTTCCTCTGTTCTTGGACTTTTCTCTTGAGACAAAATATGGAAGTTTGTTTTTTTTTTTTTCCTTTACTTTTTAATCTGTCTCTTCCTTTCTTGGGATGTGAATTTTGGATTCTTTTAATGATCATTCGTTTATCGTTTCATTTTTTGAAACGTTTTTTTGTACGACATTTAAGAATTTTTAAATCTTCATCATAAATGTCGAAAAGTAAAGTGATTCGAACTTCTAAACCTTCAGTTCAAAGTATATCTTTGTTTAGTTGAATTATTATGAGATCGCAGGTCCGTTGGACTGAGAAACAAATGTATTTTATAGGAGGTGTTGAAACCTCTCCCTAAGAGACTGACGGTCATATATAACGGGTCAAAGCGGATAATATCTGCTAGCGGTGGGTTTGGGTTGTGCAAATGGTAGTTGGCAATGGGTGGTGTGTTAGCGAGGACACTGGGACTATAAAGGAGTGAATTTTGAGATTCTATATCGGTTTGAGAGGAGAATAACCATTCATTGTAAGGATGTTGAAACTTTTCCGTCCCTAACAAACGTGTTTTTAAATCGTGAGACTGATGTCGATACGTACCTTATAAGTGTTAAGGATAGTTGGTCGTTTATTATAGATATTTGCTTACATTCGGCTTAATATATTTGCCGTTTTATCAGTAATTAACCATATTTCTTTATTCTATAAATGATTAGTGGGTAGTTTCAGCAAACATTTTCAATAGGGATGTGGAAACTTCTCCCTAATAGATGCATTTTAAGATCGTGAGGCTGACGGTGATATATAACGAGTCAAAACGGACAATATTTGCTAGCAGAGGGCTTGGACTGATACAAATAGTATCAAAGCTAGCCACCGGACAATGTACCAGCGAGGACGTTGAAACGGTAAGGGAGGTGGATTGTGAAATCCCACATCGGTTGGAGAAGGAAATAAGCATTCCTTATAGGGATGTGGAAACCTCTCCCTAACCGACGTGTTTCAAACTGTAAAGCTAATGATGATACGTAACGAATCAAAATAGACAATACCTACTAGCCATGGGCTTAGGCTGTTACAGTTATGTTCAAGTTCAGTCGAATAAAGTTTAAGGTTTCAAAATCCTTCGCTCTAAATGTACCGAAGCAAATAAATATGAACTTCTAAACTTTTAATCGAGAATATATATTTAATTAGTTGAGTTACGCTCAGGTTCACTCTAATATCATTTAAGGTTCTTAGTTTCTAAATCCGTCACGGTAAATATAAACAAGTGGAGGAATTTGAACCTCTAAACTTTCGGTCAACAATCAGTACTTAGGTAAGTTATGCTCGGGTCTCCTACAAAGATGAAAGAAGATAGACAAGAAAAAAATTACGAGGAGAATTTTCTTTGAGTGGTATTTCATTGATAACTCGAGTCCTCTAGAAGAGGTAGACTATTTCTTTGCAAAATTACGTTCAATTTCACATGTGTCGACGTTTTATCTTAAAAAAAATTAAAATAAAAAAAAATGCAATTAAAAAAATTTAGATATTTATTAGAGTTATCCACCCAATGCCCTTGCCTATCAATGTCACAATCAAAGTTGGATAAAGACGATTGAAGGCAAAAATTATTTTTCTTTAAAAGTAGCCAAATATATAAATAAATTAAATTAATCAAAATACTCATTAAAAAATATTTTTTAATTTTAAAAAATTATTTTTTATACTCTTAAATATTTTTAAAAATTTTAAAATGCTCGACAATTAATATTTTAAAAAAACTTCGAGTATTAAACTTTTTTCTTTTTAATAAATGAAACATCTCTTAATAGACGCCCCAAAAGGCCTGGAGATGTGCTTTCTTCAACACTTCAGTCACTTTTAACTTCTATACCATGTTAGTAATCACGGATCTTTACAATTGTCCATTTTGAATATAAGTTTTTCTCCAATCAATGTGAGATCATACAGTCCACCTCGTTGAGAGCCTAATGTCTTCGTTGGAACACCACCCAATGTTCGGTCTGATACCATTTGAAACGGCTTAAACCGACCGCTAGTAAATATTGTCCGTTTATAAGAAATATTTCATTATCTTCTCCAACTAACGTGGGATCTCACAAAAATACAATACTTATATTTGTTTATTCATATGTCAAAACTTAAGGTAATGTATATTACGATCGGCTTTTCGAGAAACTCGAGCTAAACACTGTCGCGTGAAATATTTAAAAATACACATAAATTTAAAACTTTTAAAACGTGTCGGGCATTTGAGACCTATCTTTGTACTTACTAATGCACCAAAAAAAATGCATAATTTGCTTTATAAAAGCAAGGAAGGATATATTAATGATCAACCATCTTAATTAAAAAGGAGAAAAAAGGAAAAAAAGTAATGGAAATGACATTTATTATTTTTATTTATTTATTAATTTTAATGATAGAATATTAAAAGTTTATTCTCTAAAACAATTATTAGTTGGTATTATTGCTTAATTTGTCAATGATCAACCATCTTAATTATCACAAAAATACAATAATAATAAAAAAGAAAATATATTTATCTCAAAAATTATTGTAAGTATTAATTAAATTAATAATAATGACTCAAAATATAAATATTTTTTTATTGGTTTATACGACTAAAACAAAATATCTAAAAATTTAAGATTTAAAATGTTTAAAAAAAAAAAAAAAAAAAGTACTCAATTATGAAAGGGTAATTGATGCCTTATCCATTAAGCTTAGATAAATAAATTTTTAATTATTACTGATTTTCAAATTTGAAATTAAAAAAAGGAAAATCAGTGAAATATTGGTTACTTTTTGAGTTGATGTGGATAAAGTTTGATGGGGAACACCATAATAACGTGGAAACGCACACACCAGAATTTGGCAGAAACACCATATTTGGTACCTTCCTTTATTTTAAATTAATTTAAATTATAAATTAAGTCCTTATAATTTATTTAGTTAAGTTTAAAAATTATTTGTAATTTTGATTTTTTTTTTTAAGGGAAGTTCGAGTAATTAAATAATTTAATATATTTTTTAATTAAATTATTAATTATGACTTTTTAAATTTATTAAATTATTTTTTAATGGAAGTTCAAATAAATATTTTTTAATTAATATAATATATGTATATAAAATTGGGTTTTTGTCTCTTTCATATTTCGCTACTCAAAGGTGAGGAACCCTTTATTTAAATTTGAGATTAAATATATAAAAAAGAGATTTATAAAAGAATAAATAAATAATTATTATTATTATTAATTTTGGAAGAAGTGAGGAGGAGCGTGTGGAAATGGACCAGAGGCCCAAAAGTAGGGCCCACGAACAGCCCACTAAAGCCGACCACTTGCCTTTCTTTTGTAAAGGCACCGCCCAATTCCGCTCCGTCAACAGTGGAATAATATCACGCATCAAATTAAAAGACGACACGTGTCTTTTGTTTGTGGTCAAGAGAGATATTCCAAAATCGTGAGACTGATGACAATATGTAATAATTTAAAACAGAGCGTATTACAAATAATATAAGAGTCTGTCACTAACCGTGCGAGACACTAGTCGAAACATGACTAAATCCTTTTTATATAGATACGTGAAGCTGTCGAGCTATGCTTGAACAAACGTATTATAAATAGCATAGGTTTGACTAAATGTTGAAATTTGTGCTTGATATTTTATAAAATTAATTAATTTATTGCTCGAATTGAATTATAATATGAACATTATGAATATTAATGTCGTGTTCAAAATTTAAAAAAAAAAAAAAAAAACATAAAAGTGTTCGTGATTATTCAAATCCATGGCGGTATATGTAGGCGCGAAGAAAAGCAAAGAATGGCCTAATCGATGGGGATGAGTTGAATTACTTGAAAGACAAGAAGAAGAAAAACAATAACGAAGCAACTCAGAGTTCATATAAATTCGATTCAAACACCTTTTTTCTTTTATTAATCCAAACGACGGAGAAATCCCACCCACTGTTCTTCCAAATCCTGGCCAATTAGAAAAGAATCCTCTGGACTCTCTTTGCTTTTCGCGAATCTTCCTTTTAGAGCTCTCTTTGATATATAACTTTCCGGAAAGGTTACTGGGTTTCTTGTAGCGATTGAAAATTCCCCTGTTTTTGAGATAAGAACGCATCATCGAATCAAACCATTTGGGAAGATGGTTCAGACAATTGTGGCGAACAAATTTGGAGTTCAAAGTGGTGTTAAAGGGGAGAGGAGATTTGCGAGCTTCAAAACTAGTTCTTCCTTTTGTTCTTCTGGTTCTTCTGCTCAAAACCCAGATGGCAAAAACAGAGCAGTTGATTTGAAGAAGAAGATGAAGAAATCACGAGCTATTCAGCTTTCGGATTTTGAAATCAGCTTAACATCATCGCCGATTAGAAAGAATATATCTCTGCCTGGTAAACCCCCACCGATTTGTTCGAATGTTTCGGAAATCAAGCAGAAACAGAATCAGAATCAGAACCAGCCATCCATGATTAGAACCAGCGATGGTTCGCCGAATTACATGAAATCCACGAGCTGTTTTGATGCAAGGAAAGAGGTTTCTCAGGTGAGTTCTCGAATTTGTAGTGATATTAAGAAACCCAGAAGGAGGAGTTTAGAGAATTCTGCTCATGGCTCTGTTACTGGTCTTAAGCCTACGAGGTGTTTGACAAAATGCTCCAGTGAAAAACTGGTTAGGACTTTGACGAAAACGCCTAGTTTTAAGAAGTCCTCGAGGGTGGCTCTGTGTGCAGACATGAATTCTCATAGAGCTACTTGTTCTTCCACTCTTAAAGACTCTAAGTTTCCAGCATACCTCATGCTGAGCCATGGGGCTACTGAGTCTGAAGGAACTTCAACCATGAAAGTTTGTCCTTACACTTACTGCTCGCTTAATGGCCATAGACATGCTCCGGTGCCTCCATTGAAGTGTTTCTTGTCTGCAAGGAGACGTTTGTTGAAGACCCAGAAGAATTTAAAAGTTGAGCCATCTGGTTGTGGAGTGAAAAGGGTTGATAATGCTGGTGGGGAAGTGCTAGATGAAGATATGATCCCAAAAGTTTTGGTAAACGATGGTGGGTTGGATTTTTTCATTGAAATTTTTGCTGAAAATAAGGTTGAGGGTGCTGGATCAGTCAGTAGGGTAATGAATGAAGATTGTGCTGGTGTTTCATGTTATGACGTGCGCGATGAAGCGGAGTGGAGTGAAGGAGACAGTGAACCGGTCGTAGAGAACATCTTCGATGGATCCATGGGCTCTGAGGTTGGTTTAGGTGAAGATGGTGCTGGATCAGTCAATCTAGATAGCGTAATGAATGGAGATTGTGCTGGTGTTTCGGCTTATAACGTGCACGATGAAGTGGAGTTGAATGATGAAGGAGATAGCAAACCGGTCGTAGAGAGCATCTACGATGGATCCATGGACTTTGAGGTAACCGAAGGAATCTTCTTCCATGGTGATGAGTATGAGGACGATGCCGGTTGGACCGATATCGAGATGGAAGAGTGGGAGGAGCAACAGTTCTTGAGCATGGAAAGTGATGGTTTGGATGAGCTTGAAGATCAGTCAGAAGAGACTCATTTGCAGAATGGAGAACTTGCTGGATTTGGAACAGAGAAACAGCTCCCGGACAATGATCTCGTCTTACAAGAGGAATTACTCGATGCCGATGTCGATACCGATACTGATACTGATACTGATAATCAAATGGACAGCCAAGAAAAACTTGATGATTCAAACCATGGAGATGAGGCTGAAAATTCTGTTCAAGAAAGCTCTAACAAATCTCTAGAAGCTCACTTGTCTGATGAACAATGCCAAGATATCTCTGTCACTAAAACATCAGCAGTCCTGGAAATCACAGGTAATGAGGAGCTTAGTGATTTGAAGATGCAAGAAACTTCTTCGAACGATAACAGCATCGTGCCAGTCAACGTCGTGGAACGAAAAGAAGCAGCAAAGTTATCCCGCACCGCAGTCGATTCGAGCCAAGAACTTGATCTTTGGAGCAAGAACTGGGAAGTGAATCCAAGAAGCAAGAAAGTAGGAGAAGAATCAGAAGATCCAAGGAGCTTCAATCCACGAGAACCCAATTACTTGCCATTGGTGGCAGACCCGGAAGCAGAGAAGGTAGATCTCAAGCATCAGCTGATGGATGACAGGAAAAATGCAGAAGAATGGATGGTGGATTACGCGCTCCAACGAACCGTCACGAAACTCGCCCCAGCTAAAAAGAAGAAGGTGGCGCTGCTCGTCGAGGCTTTCGAGTCAGTCATGCCGACGACATCGAGATACGAACTCCATGTTCGGAATCATGCTTCTCGAGCTTTTACTCCCGCCAAACGCATTCAAGCTTGTTTTTGATGGTAGCAGTAGAGGTAACCCTCCAAACACCATCTTACAAAGTTCATTATAGAATATAGTGTTTGTAGCAGAAGATCAACAGCAGCAACTTGGTTGTATGTTTTGGATGTTAGAGAAGCTAGATGAACTAATTTTGAGGTCTAATAGGAGTGTGACGATACTAAACCATGTTAGAACGACGTCTAAGTATGGTTGAAGGAGACTTTGGTCATTCAACTTTAGCTAGCTAAAGAAGGAACGAATCGTGTCACTCGACGTTATGACGTCGTGGCAGGGAGATTATCTGTGCTTCCATGCATCCCTGTTGATGAACTGCTAGGTTTGAGAGTTTGTCATTGTGTGTGTCCAAAGTGCATCTTCATTCATAGGATGTAATTTGTGTGTGGTTGTGATGAAGGTGTACAATCAAAACCTATGCTAATCTCATGAACTTTCTTTTAATCATATAAGTTCGTAGAGCCGGATAAATTCAAACATCTAACATCTAGATCGAAGACATTCATTAATTGGCTGTGTTATGTTCAAATTGGTTAAAAATAATGATTTTAAAGTAGGTAGAGAAAGACTTGTTTGATAGAAGTTTAGACCGCTCACTCTGGTTCGACCTATAAAAAAGATCATGAAAGAGGTGATCAAAATGGTACTCAAATCCATTTACGATCCGAGTTTCATATACATTGTACTTCCACTCGGGGCGAGGCCGCCACTCGGCCCTTAGACAGATCATAGAAGAGTGGGGAACCTCTTGCTGGTTTTTGAAATTCGATATTAGGAAGTGTTTTCACACCATCGACCGATATCGACTCATCTTAGCCTTGAAGGAAAAGATCGATGATTCCAAGTCCTTTTACTCCATTCAGAAACTCTTTTCGATCAGACAACGTGTAGGAGGTGAGAAGGGTCTTTACTACTTCGTCCCACACAGTGTACTACTATCGGGCCTACCAAACAACATCTACCTACACAAGCTCAATCAATAAATAGGGAGGATTCGAGAGACGTATGAAATCCCGATTGATCCATCAAATGTTATTTAAATTTAATCAAATATTTCATCTATCACTCGAGATAATTCATCTTCAATTAAGTTAAAGTATAAATCGCCTGATAAATTTTGTAAAATTTTAATGATCATTAATTTATTATATAACATGTCAACTTGGTAAAGACATTTATCATACGACAGACAATCGAGTATATCCTCATTTTTTTAATTGAATAATAAAATAAAATTTAATTTTGTTTATAAAAATATATATGTTTCTCATTATCCAATCATACACAAATAAAATCTAATCTTAAATGAGAGAAAGAAACAAACAAGATGTTTACCATGTGGGGACTTATGCTATAATAGCTCATAATTAATGTTTATTGTTTTAATTATTTAATTAACTTAATTATATGCCATTTTATATCATCCATTTTAAGGTTATTAGTGTTAATCTCTTTTTCTAAATAAGTCAACGGAAGGATTATTTGTTAATCTCGAGTGAACTGTTAACAATGTTTCTGTGGAATTGTCTTTTGATTTGCATGGTTACGAGTAGCTGATTCAATAAGCCCACTGTTTTGAAGATCTAACCAAATAGGGAGCTTGAAACTATTTACTCTGATATAATAAAGGTAAATTATTTGAACAGTGAAATCTTACATTTTTACTGACTTAATCGAATCAATGAAGTATCAAATAAAATGTAATTACGAGAGTAAAATAGAATTTTAGCCTAATTATAATTATAAATAATTTCTGAAATATTGACTTCTATATAATGATTGTATTCACGAACAACTTGTTCAAAAATGTATAAAATTACAATTTTAGACTGAGCTAATGAATAAAAACTAATTAGGTAAAAAATCTTAATTAATTAATTTTGTACCATAATCTATAATCTATAAGATCTCGTTGTTTGTTTGTTNATAGTAAAAAAAAAAAAAAAAAAAAAAAAAAAAAAAAAAAAAAAAAAAATTGAAATACTTTAATACATTTAATTGGATAAGGTTATTTTTATTTTTATTTTATTTTATTTTAATTTATCCATTTTTTTATTAAAAAAAATTAAAACCATAATAAAGAAAATTGATTTAAATAAAAATAAATTTAAAAAATATAAAATATAAAGTAAAATTATTATTGGACCATGGTTTAAGTTTTAAATTTTCTATGGACTAAAATTTGTGGAGGAAAAAATAATAAAATAGTAATCCACGTGGCAGCATGTGCAAACCTGTAACAACAACTTACCATACTAAAAAAATAAATAAAATAATAATAAACTAAGCTTACCTTATTTATATTAAATTTTTAATTAATTTCATCCAATAACAACAATTCATCATTCACATGATTAACATGAATAAATCCTTAATCGAGCGAACTAGACCAACCGAGCAATGTGACCAAACTAAACCCAACTTGACTCGTGTCAACTCCTTTTATTTCTTCTTCATTCTCGTCATTTCGTAATTGGTGCACACAGTTTGTAAGTCTAATGAGACTATGCTACAAGCGTCATGCTACTGTTATCATTCATCTTGTGTTGTGGTCACTCGAGTTCACTCTTCAACATTTAGTTATGAGGAAAACACTCATTACCCGAGCAAGGAGAGGAGGAATTAGAGCTACTTGCTCGTGCCTATACCTCTCCAACAACTCCAATGTAACGACTTCAAATTTTCTACTTAATTTAGAGTCATTACTGTATACATATCATAACATTGAATTCGAGTCCTTTTTTCCATTAAAAAAAAAAAAAAAAAACTAAATTATTACTTAAAAAAGAAGAAGAAAACAGAACCAAGGAAGTAAAAAGTTAAAACGGCAATGGTAAAAAAGCGTTAGGCGCATATGGAAAGACAATGTGTGATGGCCATTGGGAGTCGGAGTTTGTTGAGGAAATAAAAGGGAATCCATTCAGAATATAATCTGCACTGTTCTCCTCTGTTTGGCGGCCGAGAAAATAATCTCTCTGCAACTTTCTCTGCCGAGAAAATATGAGTCCCGGAAGGAAAATTCTGGGGCTTTTCTTGGTCGGGATCTTCATCGGAACCGTAACCGGACAAACTGGATGCGATCCGTACATCGGAAAATGGGTATTGGATTCGGCTTATCCCTTGTATAACTCGTCGGAATGTCCGTTCATTAGGAAGGAATATGATTGTATTAAATACGGCCGTCCCGATCGCCGCTACCTTCAATTCCGGTGGCAGCCTCTCCACTGCGATTTGCCCAGGTTTTCTCTCTCTCTCNTTTTACAATTTTAAATTTTTTTTTTTTTTTTTTTTTTTTTTTTTTTTTTTTTTTTTTTGCATATTAAGAAAAAAAAAAAAATTTTGTGAATTTTTTTTTTTCCTTTTTGGAAAAGTAGAATAGTTTATGGAGTTTAGAGATGTTTTGTGGAATAAGGATGGAGAAGACTTCCTCGTCCATGTCCGCCCACCTATTTTCGTCTCTAATTTAGATTCGGGCGGGCGGGTAATTACTTGGGAACGAGGTCCGCCCGAAGAATTTTCTTTTTCTATTTTCTTTTTTTTTATGTACATTAATTATGTTACTAAAATTTGTATTTTAGTATCAACCGTTCATTTATTCTTTTAATAATAAATAAATAATTGGAGCAGGTGAAGTAAGGGAGGGAAACACAGTATGGTCTCTATTTAGTTAACAAGGAGAAAATTGTCAATTGATAGATGAGAAAACAACTTGTCGTCTGGAAATAATAATTTAATTTTATAATGATTTAATTAAATTTGAATCTTATTATTTATTTAATTTTTGGAACTTGTTACCTAAGCTATAGTTTTTTTAATTTAAAATTTGTAGCACTTTAGGAACAATATTATTGTGTGATTGAAATTATTATTATTTACGTGTCGTGATATGATTTTTCTTATAAAAGAAAAGGAATAATAGGTTTAAATAATTTTTTAATAAACTCATCCAATAATAGTGAAGAGGCTTTAAAAAACCAATTAAAAATATTTAAGAGACAAACAATTATTTATTATTATTAAATAGATCTTATTTGTTTGAGTTGGATTGAATTTATTTTTTATTAGCTAGAGTTAAATTTTTTAAAAATTAAAAATTTATTTTTTTAAAAATAATTTTAAAAAACCTAACAACTCAACTCAACCCCATCTGAAATTAGAGGGCTGTGTTGGGTTAGTTGTTTAGGTCACTATCCCTACCAATAGAGGGTTGGGTTGGGTTGGGTTGGGTTGAGTTGAGTTGTGAGCTCTATTCGGATTGTTTGGGTCACCATCCCTCCTAACAAAAAATTTCAATTCTTACCGACCTGTGTAGAACTGTAGTTTTTTTTTATAATAGAGAGTTGAGTTGGGTTTGAACTCTATTCAGATTGCTCGGTTCATAGACCCTACTAACTTGAAATTTCATGTTGGTTCAAAAGATTTTTCAAACTCAACCCAACCCGCGTAGATCTCTAGTTTTTTATAACAGGGGTTGGGTTAAGTTGTAAACTCTATCCAGATTGTTCGGATCACAACCTCAACTAACTTAAAGTTTAAAGTAACAGAATGTTGAATTGAATTGTAAACTCTATTTGGATCGCTCGGATCACCAACTCAACTCAACTAAACACATGATTCTCAAAAAGATCGTTTTTATAAGAACACGAACATGAATCTCAGTAGTTTTTGAATGGATGAACACAGATTTGATGGAGAAGAATTTTTGAAGAGATTTAGGGAGAAGAAGATAATGTTCGTCGGAGACTCCATAAGCATAAACCAATGGGAATCTCTTCTATGTATGCTTCATGCTGCTCTTCCTGACTCCACCGTCATTCAACAGTCCAATGAAACCTTTCGCTCCTACACATTCAAGGTTAGTGCATCCCCCAACATATACATCATATACGATGTACGTGTAACTTGACTTGTAACGGTGTTTAAAATAAATCAGATGACTCGAAAATCTGATTAATTCAATCCAACCAGTACGGTCTGAGTTGGGTTTAAAAATTTAGCATCTAAACAATTAGGTTTGGTCTTAAAAAGCGTCCCAACTCAACCCACGAGGAAGGTAGACAATCTAAACAGTTGAGTTTGGGAAACGTTTAACCTTGAGAAAGGTAGATTTAAAACCATTGGCTATCAGGGCCTACAAAAAACGCTATCAAAAGTCTACGACAGTGCTCGTTAACTTTCATGTTATAGTATGTAATATGTTTCTGTTCACGAGAATGATCGATTTTTTTCCCCTCAGGAGTATGGAACTTCAGTGATGCTATGTCTAAACCATTACTTGGTGGATATTGAAGAGGAAGACATTGGAAGAGTTTTGAAGCTTGATTCATTGAAATCTGGTGATCTATGGAAGGAGATGGATGTTTTGATCTTCAATACTTGGCTTTGGTGGAACCGCAGACAACCGGGTCAACCGTAAGCTAAATTCCTCTCGCTTTTAGGGTTAGCAAAGCTGAAATCGAGTTAGTCGGTTCGTCAGTTCGGCTTAGATGCATTTTTTCAATTTCGATCGGTTCGGTTTAGTTTCTATTAACGACTTAAGTTGATAGGTTAACGGATAAGGTCAACCATAAGCTAAATTCCTCTTGCTTTTAGGGTTAGCGAGCCAAAATCGAGCTAGCGATTGGTCAGCTCGGCTTAGATACATTTTTTTAATTTCAATCGGTTTGGTTTAGTTTCTATTAACATCTTAAGTCGATAGGTTAAGAGGTAAGATCAACTATAAGCTAAGTTCCTCTTGCTTTTAGGGTTAGTAAGTCAAAATCGAGCTAGCGATTCGTCAACTCAGCTTAGATACATTTTTTCAGTTCAATGGGTTCGGTTTACTTTATGTTGGCGTCTTAAGTCGGTACGTTAACTGGTAAAAATCAACTCGAGATGACGTAAATTTTTATATTTTGTGCAGATGGGATTACATTCAAATTGGGAACCAGAGAGTGAAGGACATGGATAGAATGAAAGCTTTCGAGCATGCATTAAGAACATGGGCAAAATGGGTTGATTCAGAAGTTGATACACACAAAACCACCCTCTTCTTCCAAGGAATTTCTCCCACTCATTACAAGTACATATATTTCAATATTTCTCCCTTTTATTTTATTTTTATTTTTTTTCATTTCGATTTATTTATTTTTTCCGCTAAATTAATAAAAATACCTTTAAATTTTGCATTATATCCAAAAAAAAAAAAAAAAAAAAAAAAAAAAAAAAAAAAAAAAAAAAAAA